AAACGTCACCAAGGAGAGGACGCCGGCGGATCTCATGGCGGCTTTATCAGGTATGTATGAAAAGCCATAGACGAATAACAAGATGCATTTGATGAAAAAATTATTTTACTTAAAGATGACGGAAGACGTGTTTGTCGTTCAACATCTGAATGATTTCAACACCATCACAAATCAATTATCGTCTGTTGAAATTGATTTTGACGATGAAATACGAGCGTTGATATTGTTGGCTTCATTGCCAAATAGGTGATGACAGTTAACAACTCTGCAAGTAAAATTAAGCTAAAATGTGATGATATTTGTGACTTAATTTTGACTGAAGAGGTGCGTAGGAATGATTCTAGCGAGACTTTGGGTTCGAGTTCAGTATTGAATGTTGATTCCAGAGGTAAATCACAGGACAAAAACTCAAGCAGAGGAAGATCAAAATCAAGACATAGAGACAAGAGCAAGTCAAAGCCTGGTTAGCAAGCAACCTGTTGGAATTGTGGCAAAACTGACCACATAAAGAAGAACTGCAAAAATCCTAAGAAGACGGAGAATGTCAGTGCTAATGCTGTAACTGAAGAAGTGCATGATGCACTATTGCTTGCAGTTCATAGCTCCGCTGACGACTGGATACTGGACTTAGGGGCTTCTTTTCACACATCTTCCCACCGGGAGTTGATGCAAAACATGTTGCAGGTGACTTTGGGATGGTGTACCTGGTTGATGGAGCGGCTTTGAACGTGGTGGGGATGGAAGATGTTGAAATTGCACTCCCTAACAAAAATAATTGGATTCTATAAAAGGTTAGATACATTCATGAACTGAAAAAGAACTTCATATCTGTTGGACAGCTCGATGAGTGTGGTCATTCAGTACTATTCTCTGATAACACCTGGAAGGTTACCAAATAAGCACTGATACTAGCTCGGGGTAAGAAGACTGATACGTTATATATGACTACTGGTCTAATTAACAATGTTGATACCACAGTTGCAGATAACACAACAGACAAGTGACATTGTAGGTTTGTACATATGAGTCAGAAAGGTATGAAAATGTTTCAGTCTAGAGGCAAGCTACCAGAACTGAAGTTAGTTGACCTCGACATGTGTGAAAGTTGCATTATGGGGAAACAGAAGAATGTTAGTTTCTTGAAAAGTAGCAGAGTGCCAAAGGCAAGAAAGCTAGAACTTGTACACATTGATGCATGAGGACCTTCACCAGTGACATCTCTTGGAGGCTCTCGCTATTACGTCACTTTCATAGATGACAATAGCAGAAATGTACGGGTTTACTTTCTAAAGCATAAATTTGATGTATTTACTGTGTTCAAAACTTGGAAGGTCATGCTTGAGAGACAGATCTAAAACTGAAATGTTGGAGGTCTGATAATGGTGGTGAATACATTGATGATGGGTTCAAGGAGTACTGTTCAACTCAGAGTATCAGAATGGAGAAAACCATTCCAGGGACACCATAGCAAAATGGAGTTGCATAGCGGATGAATATGACCATCAATGAACGTGCCAGAAGCATGAGATTGCACGCCGGACTACCACCAACCTTTTGGGCAGATGCGGTCAACACTGCAGTTTACCTGATCAACAGAGGACTATCCGTCCTATTAGACTGTAAATTACCTGAGGTCTGGAGTGTCAAAGAGGTCAAATTTTCTCATCTTAAGACTTTTGGTTTCTTTCTTATGTTCTAATCAATCCTGATGCATGTAGCAAGTTTGAGGCTAAGTCAAAGAAATGCTTATTCATTGGCTATGGAGACAAAACATTTGTTTCTTTCTTATGTTCTAATCAATCCTGATACACGTAGCAAGTTTGAGGTTAAGTAATTTGAGGTTAAGTCAAAGAAATGTTATTTCATTGGTTATGAAGACGAAGTATTTGACTATCATTTCTGGGATGATCAAGATCGAAAGATTATCAGAAGCCGAAATGTGATCTTCGATGAAAAGATGATGTACAAGGACAAAACTAGTAAAAATTCTGAAGCAGCTCCTCAGGAATCAGAGATCGTAAGATTTGACGATCTACCAAAGGTTACAGTACAGGGCTGAGATGTGAATGACGAGGAGAATGGGTCCGGGACACCCATTCCTATTATTCCGCAGTTAGGTTCAGAGTCATTCGCTACTCTAGCTGTCATTCACAGATCAGTCAGGATCACACATTCGCCACAACGTTACTCACCAACTTTGAACTACATCTTGCTGACAGATAATGAAGAACTCCAGAGCTATAAAAAAACCTTAGTAGATGAACATTCTAGCAAGTGGGAGTTGGCCATGAAGGAGGAGATGTATTCCCTGATGAGAAATCAGACATGGGAGTTGACAGAACTTCCATCAGGGAAGAACAAGTGTACCAGGCAAAATGTATAAGACCAGACTTGTTGTAAAAGACTTTCAACAGAAGCAGGACATTGATTATTCTGAGATCTTTTCTCCTGTGGTGAAGCTCACAATCATTAGAATGGTACTGGCTATAGGGTGCTGGCTATAGGTGCCACCGAAAATTTATTTATGGAGCAATTAGATGTGAAGAAATCTTTCTTCATGGAGACCTTGAAGAAGACATTTACATGCGCCAACTTGAGGGGTTCGTGGTACAAGGAAAAGAAGATTCAGTTTGCAGACCGAACAAGAGCTTGTATGGTCTAAAGCAAGCTCTCAGACAGTGGTATAAAAAATTTGCTAATTTCATGCAGAATACAAGATACAACAGATGCCAGATAGATCACTGTTGTCATGTCAGGTAATTTGACAATTTCTTATCATCCTGTTGCTGTATGTGGATGATAAGCTTATTGCAAGGGCCAACATTGATGAGATCAATAATCTGAAGAAACAAATGTTAGAGCACTTTGCAATGAAGGATTTAGGAGCGGCAAAGCAAATCTTTGGCATGATGATTGTTAGAGACAGTCAAAGGCAAGTTGAGGCTTTCGCAGACTGAATATGTGAAAAAGGTGCTTAGCAAATTCAATATGGACAAGGCCAAGTCAGTTGGCACACTTTTAGGCAGTCACTTCAGACTCAACAAAAATCAGTCTCCCAAGATAGAGGAGGAACAAAACTACATGAGTAAGGTTCCTTACGCTTCAGCTATTGGCTCACTCATGTATGCCGTGGTCTGCACCAGACCGAACATTGCCCTTGCAGTGGGAGTTGTGAGCAAATACATGAGTAATCCAGGGAAGAAACATTGGGAAGCTGTGAAGTGGATCTTGAGATACATAAGAGGCTCTTCAGAAACCTGTTTGTGTTTCTTAGGAAAGAGCCTGAAGATATAGAGCTATGTTGATGCACATTTAGCTGGAGACATTGACAATAGAAAGAGTACTACATATTGTGTTTATGCTCTTAGTGATACTGCAGTGTCATGGGGCTCAAATCTATAGAAGACAGTTTTGTTGTCCACTACAGAAGCTGAGTACATTGCAGTGTCAGAGGCTGCTAAGGAGATGATATGACTGTAGAGTTTCTTGAAGGAATTGGGTAAGGCGGTTCAGAATGACACTCTATACAGTGATAGTCAGAGCGTCATATTTCTTGCTAGAAATCCAGCTTTTCAATCCAAGACCAAACACATTCAGATCAGGTATCACTTCATTCGATCTTTATTAGTCGACGAACAACTGCTACTTAAGAAAATTTGTGGAAGCAAGACCTTGCTGATATGACTTGCTGATGTGTTGATTAAGGAGGTTACTTTTGAGAAACTGAAGTTTTGCTCGACTTTAGTTGGTATTCTGGTATGAAGAACAGAGCTTTTAGTTGCAAAGGTGGAGGATATCATGCTTAAGGAAAATGTCGGTACAGCTAGTAGATGATACAACTAGTAGATAATGCAGTCAATGTCCCAGTCTCTAAGTGAGATAATTGTTGGGTAATGTGGAGACCCGGTCTACCGCAATTTAATTAACTTCTTAATTAAGAATCTCACCTACCTCATCCCACACCTATCGCTCACCTACCTTCCACCTACCGCTCTCCTGGTTTTTATAAATAGCCACTTATGACTTATCATAAGAGCCAGGTCCTCTAAGAGAGAAAGCGAGGAAGAAAAGAGAGAGGAAAGGAGAGAAGAAAATAGAGATTTTTCTTGTAAACGCTCGACGGTGTAATTCCTTGAAAAAAAAAAATCCTTTACAGCTCTGTGGACGTAGGCAAATTTTCCAAACCACGTAAATCTATATGTCGCTTTGGTGTTTTTTTTATTTACGTGCAATTTTTCTTGTTCCAATTGTTCGCTTTATTGTCGTCATTTTTCATAACAAATCTTGCTTTAAATATGTATTACATCATTCACTCAACCGTTCATTTCTGGTTGAATCTCCAATTTTCAGAACCTTGGTGGATAGAGAGGTTGTAGAAAACCAGCTGCACAAATGGGGAGGGTATAGGAAAAGACAGTGACATGTTATATAAGAAGGGAAAATGAGATATTTTAAAGAGTAAGGTGACATGCTAAGTAGAAAAAGAGAAAGGAGGAAGTGTAGGTAACAACGATATAAAGAATATAATATGGAAGATTCCCTTGAGCAAATATTGTTCTTCGATGACAGAGTATATTATAATGTAATAACTCCTTTGGTTGTATTTTCACGAATTTGGTGATAAAATATTTTTAATTAGATTTATCTCTCATGGGTTGTATGTGATAAAAGATTGTCAGATGCTTTGGATTTAAGAATTTTTAACAAGTTTCAAGTTCAATAGGGATAGTTGCGTTGTAGGTTCAGAACCCCAAAGTGGGATCTTTTCGTATTACATGTTTATAAAACAGAAATGTTCATTTGTTATACTAAAAGCCATTAAATGTAGGAGAAAAAATACATGGGAGTTACGATTCGTTTGTGTTATAGTAATATACCATGCTTCTTTAGCAACTGCAAACATTCAACAAGTCCAAGCAATGCAAGAACTTGTTGATAGTAACAGGCTTGGTCAACATATAAACTACATAATAATTCATGCAATTCATATCTTTGCAGTTTAACCATGATTTTTTAAGCAGTGATCTTTTTCTTGTAGTCTCCAGATTCACATAGAGAGTTGGGTGAAACTACCACAATTCCTGACAGATTGCTGCAGCCATCTTCTTCTCAAGGTAAAATTCCTAAGCTAATTAGAATGTGGGTGATAATAAGCTCTTTTATTGCTTGGATAGCTTTGAATTTTCACAATTTTGATTGCTAGAAATTGACAAGCAAGTGAAGGTTGGGCACTATTTTTTTTTTTTAAGGTAGCTCCTGTGACGGACAAAATTAGAGAAAGTCGTCTTAGATGGTTTGGGCACATTAAACATCGACCATCTGATGATCCGATTAGGAGAGTAGATGTTTTAGATTCGACTTGTGTTAAGAAAGGCTGAGGTAGACCTAGGAAGACTTGGGCTTATTGTATTAAAAATGATCTTAATTTACTAGAATTAAATGAAAATATGACACTAAATAGAACACAATGGAGGAAATTGATTCATGTAGCCGACCCCACATAGTGGGATTAAGGCTTTGTTGTTGTTGTAAGGAAGATTTGCATACATTCCACTTAATTCCTATGTATTTACATATCTAACGCCTAAACTTCAATTTTGACAAATTTGGCATCTTACTTGTGCATGAAAAATAATGGTATTTTTTATGTGATATGAAACATTCGGGTGGTATAAATGTAAAGAATAAGTGTTAGACATGTAAATACACAAGAATTTGGTGGTATGCACCCTTATAGAAAATGCACATGATAAATTTATGGTTACACGGACAGATACCGTCATGCGGTCATGCTATATTGACAAGAATTAAGTTAATTCTAAAAATTTAGGAAATGGACATTGATTTAAAAAATAATTGCTTCAAACCCTATGTATAGCAGACTTGATGCATGAAATAGGAGGTCGGCTATTCTTTATAACTAACAAGACTCTGTTGCCTGAAATAGGAGGTTCCCCATTTTTTATAATTAATAAGAAATGAATGGATGAAGTAGGAATGAGAATGCTTATAGAGATTTTTGGTAAAATTAGGGAGGACAAATTAAGGATGATAGCTCTGAATGGCTATATTAAGGATAACGTGGATAATGGATTTAGGTGGTTTGGATATATACAATAAATGATTTGCCAATGAGACAACTTATAAAAATAATATGGAAGGATATATACAATAAATGATTTGCCAATAAGACAACTTATAAAAATAATATGGAAGGATTAACAATGAGAAGGCATATAAATAATGTATAAGATTTGAATAAGATATAAATAGCACTTTATGAAACATTCAACCAAATTGAATGGGGACTAGGAATTTATAAGGCCAACTTAAATAGTTGGGAAAAGATTGGATGATCTAATCGGCCACTGAACCAAAACTTAAGGAGAGTAGTGTCAAAATAAAAAAGTTAATGGGTGGCGTGTAAGTTTAAAACTTCCATCTCCTTAAAAGAACTTAAACTAATATAAATATTATTATTAAATTATTATTATTAAGTATTTAAGTTTAAGAGACAATTTTCAATGTATTGTATGATATTAAAGAGTATAGTGAAAAATTAGGGATGGCGAGTGCCTCACCCAACCATCCTCTGGTTCCACCACTGGTTGTAAGGCTTTGAGTTTTGTAATCTATTCAAATGTTTTGTGCAAAACTTGGGAGTTATGTGAAGTTATGGGCTTCCACTTATATGATTCTGGTTATGGATGAGAATTTTAGGAAAATATCAATTTTTTTATGAAATAAATTTATATTTGAAATGGGCCGATCTAGCGCTAACCATGTCTACCATTTTGAGAGATTAGGAGTTTATAAATATTTGTTGAGGTATGTAATTAAAGAATTACGACTTGATAATTTTTTTCTTTGTAGTTTTAATTTTGAGAGTTCAAGTTGGATGCTATTGTTTTGAGTGATGCACGAGTACTGATTCTGTTCTTCTAGAGGAAGTCGTCTTTGACATAAAGCTTGTTTTTTTATTATTTTAATAATAATTTTGTTTACTGTATTTTTTTTTTTTTGGTTCACAGGCTAATATTGATTTTTTTAGTGCTCTTGATTTCAATAAAAAACTAACACATAGACCTAATTTGCACGAATTAAACCGAATTCCATGTTGATTTTACATGGTTCTAATTCCTAATTAAATTTCTTGATTATTTTGATTGGATTCTAACTGTAGTATCACTTATACAAATTATAAAACAAGAACAACAACAATAACAACAATAAGCATTTATCCTACTAAGTGGAGTCAGGTATATGAATCATTTTTTCTCCATTTTCTCCATTGTGTCATATTGAGTGTCATCTTCATTTAATTTTAATAAATCAAGATCATTTTTTTACAACATGCCCAAATCTTTTTAGGTCTATCTCTACCTTTCTTAACATAAGTCAAATGTAAAACATTTACTCTCCTAAACGGATCATCAGATGATCGACGTTTAATGTGACCAAACCATCTAAGACGACTCTCTCTAATTTTGTCCGTCATATTTTATAGAAATGCAAAAATAATCAACCACTTTTTTTAAAATGCATTTTGTCTCTAAGAGTCAAGCTACTTATCTACCTAGGCATTCTCATCTCAACAACATGTAACTTAGTTTTATGCTTGTCTTTTATAAACCAACATTTTGTGCCATAAAGCAAAAAAATGAGAACTATCCAAATTATATCTAATTTAAATTTTTTGACAATTTGATTCGCTCTGATTAAATTTTTTTTAAAAAAATCTCCTGTTAGCCTTATTATATCTAATTTATTGGTTACATATAAGTTACAAGAACCAACTCAAGTGGGGCATTAAACATCTGAAGAATTTGTGGAAGTGTAAAGGAAATTCAGGCTGCACAGGGAGAAAGACCTTTCAAATACAGTATTTTGAGCACTGTTCTCATTGAATGTATCTTTTAAGCTTTACAGTTTCAAATGATCTAATTTTTCAGAAAACATAGGGGCAAAACCACATTACAAAAATGAAACAGAATCAGCAACCTTAAACCCTACCGAATCTGATGGCAGGATCCTCGCAAAACATGCAGAAGACGAGGCAACTGAGGAGGAAGAAACCAAGCCTGAATCTGCCATTAAATCAATGGAGATCTCCAACGAAGAGGACAAGGTGACATCGCAAGATGAAAATCTACCTGAGAAGCTCCCTCTGATATCAAATGAGACATCAAAGAATTATCTTGAAGATGAGATGAAACTTTCCATGGCCAAACAGAACACTTCTGATGAAAAAGTAAACATTTTGGATCTACAAAATAAGAATCTCTCAGAAGTGGAGAAGGAACTTCCAGTAACTGTGGGGAATCCCTCAACTCCAGATTTGGTGAAACCAAAGCATGGAAGCAGGAAAAGATTACCCAGACGGCTATCTTACGTCGAAGCTGATCCTAAGACTGATGTTGATATGGGCGGCGAACGTCCCCATGAATTGAAATCCAAATATGTGTTCAAACAAACCCCTCAATGGCCTAACGATGAAGGTGGCGCCAGCGCCAGCGCCACGAACATGTCGGAAGGCGGAGCGATGGTGATGCATGAAGCAACCATGGATTGGCCTGATTTCTCATCGGCTTCGCTGTTCGGAGATTCGTGGTCTGATCCTTGTTTAGAATTTGCGTTCAAGACACTAACAGGTGATCTCCCGGTTCTTGATGATGCAATAGCGATTCAGGAATATTTCCAGCAGCAGATCTTTCTAGTTGAAGGATCAACGAGCGCAGATGTTCTTGCTCCTGTATCAAAAAACAAAACAGATACTGCGGCTAATGTTGATGAGGATGATAAGGTGGAAAAATAGATGTTTTCTAAATGAAATGTTTGAAGACAAATTCTGTAATGTTATGTAATGATAAGAATTAGTCTTTTTGCTGTAATTTTGGTTTTGAATTTCTTTTTAACATATTTAAGGCTCTATGGGTTTGTAGTTTAGAAAGCTCCTTGACCCGAGAGAAAACATTACTTCCGACGTCCAAAAGACTTACGAACGACGGTGTGGATCGCATCACGCTAGAGTTTAGCTGCGTGACGTCTGATTTACTAGCCATAATATTTTTTTGTCAGGCCCAGTTCTTAAAACTAATGATTAAAATTCATTTAGATTATGTTTTGTCACACATGCCACTCACTTCCTATGAAGTTGCATATCTAGCATCTAAATTTTAATTATGTGTATTTCTTTTTTAGTTAATTTAAAATGGTGGTATTTTTTATGTTATATGAAAAATTTGGGTGGTATAAATGTAAAAAAGTAAACATTAGTTGTAATGTGTAAATACATATAGTTTTGTTCAATAAATTTTCTAGAGGAAGACGATAATGTAACAAGTTATAAGATTTTTTTTTACAAATAATAAAGAAAAAAAAATTTACATTCATACCACTCAACTCTTATTAAAATTTAAATTGCTACTCATTTTGACATTATTAAAATAAAAAAAAACAATTAAATGCTGCGGCTCACATTAATTCAGAAAAAAATATATATTTAAAGCTTAACAATCAAGTATTTTAAATATCTAATACCTATTATTTAATTTTTATATACACATCACCTGACCAATGCATGAAAAAAGACTTTCAATTAAAAGTTAAAATAATGATATACATGTACTGATAATTTTAGATGGTATAGTAGTTAGATCTGTAAATACATGGGAATTGGGTGGTATTGTTTTGTAAATATCCTTGATATACTCTACCCATTATTTATTTAATATGCTTTGTTTTGATATATTAAAAAATAATAAATTTAGATGAGTTTTTTATATAATATGTCCAAGTCTTTTTAGGTCTATCTCTACCTTTCTTAACATAGGTCGAGTCTAAAACATCTACTCTCATAGTCGGATTATCAGATGGCCGACGTTTAATGTGGCCAAACCATCTGAGACGATTGTCCCTACTCCTGTCTACAACCGATACAAATAATAAAGAAAAAAAAATTTACATTCATACCACTCAACTCTTATTAAAATTTAAATTGCTACTCATTTTGACATTATTAAAATAATAAAAAAAAAAAACAATTAAATGCTGCGGCTCACATTAATTCAGAAAAAAATATATATTTAAAGCTTAACAATCAAGTATTTTAAATATCTAATACCTATTATTTAATTTTTATATACACATCACCTGACCAATACATGAAAAAATACTTTCAATTAAAAGTTAAAATAATGATATACATGTACTGATAATTTTAGATGGTATAGTAGTTAGATCTGTAAATACATGGGAATTGGGTGGTATTGTTTTGTAAATGTCCTTGATATACTCTACCCATTATTTATTTAATATGCTTTGTTTTGATATATTAAAAAATAATAAATTTAGATGAGTTTTTTATATAATATGTCCAAGTCTTTTTAGGTCTATCTCTACCTTTCTTAACATAGGTCGAGTCTAAAACATCTACTCTCATAGTCAGATTATCAGATGGCCGACGTTTAATGTGGCCAAACCATCTGAGACGATTGTCTCTAATCTTGTCTACCACTGAAGCTACACCAACCCTTGCACGGATACATTCTTTTCACAATTTGTCTCCAAGTGTCAAGCCACTCATCCGCCTAAGCATTCCCATGTTAGCAACACTTAGTTTTATGCTTCTCTTTTACAAGCCAATAAATAGCACGCAAGCATAAAAATAAAGGATTGATCCCTTTCTCCTACAATACTCGAGACTTTCTACTCGTATTCTCCTTCATTACATCTTCATTATTGCAATAATGCGTAAGAACATCAAAGCGACCTCGAAGAAAATCCTTCAAGGAGAAATTGAACTTTATTCATCTTTCATGATTCACATGTTATCCACTTAATAGCGTTCTCGAAGTCCGATCTCCTCCCCAAATTGATTCTAGAAATCATTCTACTCCAAACTTAGATGTTAGCAATGGTGTGGATAAAAACACTATTTTGAATTGCTTTGGACTAAAAAAATTTCCTTTTCAATAGAGGAAAACTTGATTCATAACAATCACATCTCAAAATAGTGTAAAAAAGAACATTACAACCAATCTATTCATTCTTGAGTAGATCATAACTTCAGACACAAAACTATAAATTTCAAACTGCTCAACAGAAAAAAAAAACCCCAAGAAATCCGGAAATACGTTATCTAACAACAAAACTCTGTCTTTTACATTTATACCGCCCAAATATTTCATATCGCATCAAAAATATAAATTTTTTAACTTTTTAAAAGAAAAATACACCTTTTCATGCATAGGGAAAAGCTGGTGTATATATATGTGTGTCTGTGTGTGTAAAAAATAAAGTTTAGGTTCTAGATATGTAAATACATAGGAATTGAGTAGGCGTGCATGCAAATCTTCCTAAAAAACTGTTTTTTTTTCAAAAAAAAAAAACATCTTAGAATTCAGTTTTGAAAGTCCTAAAATTTGAAATCTGCCGCCAAAAGTCTAAACTTTTTAAGAGAAAAATATACAGCAATGAAAAATAATAACAATGAATAATGAAGATGATTTAATATCTGATTTCGCACAAGCCAAATTTAGAAGAAGTACATTTCCCCATTTAAGAGGACTACAATCCACAAAGCTGGAGACAAAACTGGCGTGCTAAATCAGCAAAAGATTATACACTCAATTGCCTCTGAATGAAAGTGCCATTTTGACCAATAGCATTACCCTAAAGACATATACGAACAAAATTGAAAAGAACAGAGTAAGAAAGCACAAATCACACAATCGTAACGAGGAGTACCAAAGGCCAGATATCAAACAGGTGGGAGCTCGCCGGATTTGAGATTCTCCTCGGGCTCATTGTGGGTTAAGGGCTTGGTGAGCATCAAAGGTCGGCGATCTTTCGCCGCATCATCGTCGTCGTTGTCGGTTGTGCTTAAGTTTATGCAAGCGCAGCGTTCCAGCGACGCGAAGAACGCAGAAACCACGCTTGTCCCCAACCAATTCGCCATGCGATCGAGCTTATCACACGATGCGTGTATAGTGTTCTCCATCTAATTCACGGATTGAAATCGTTGATAAACAGAGTGAGGATTTTGTA